GGGGAAAGGCAAATGCAGATATATATTAAAGACAAATAATCTAGATACGCGAGCAGCAGCCTGGGGCATCCGATGGGCGCCAGCAGCAGGCACGAGAGAGAGGCATGCCCTCCGGCTGCTGGGGTCACTTCTCTGCCCTCGGGCTCCCTGCTTCCCCAGTTTTTTTTCTCTCTTTGTTAACAAATGTGTCTGAGTCTTGGAAAACACCCCAACCCCGGAATTGTGTGGGAAAAGAAAACAAAAACTTTCCAAACCCAAAGGTCCTGTGCAGTTTGTTCAGGGTTGGGGCTGTTGGGACATTGGTCCTGGCTCTGGACTGGGGCTGGGCTCAAATTGAAGCCCATGAGCGTTGGTAAGTAGTTCCTAAACTTGGTCTGAGCATGGCTTTGGGCTCCCGGGGCAATTGTCTTTGTCTCCACGTGGCTGAGGATGGGGGCAGGAAACAGCCCCCAGGCTTGTGGGCAAAGACTGGTCTCTGGCCTTGGTTGGGTCAACCCACCTGAGGACATTAGCTTCTGAATGGGGACAAATCCCCCACCCCCGTAGGAGCATGGAGTTGCCCCTAGTGGTTGCCACAGCTCTTGGAGGCAGTTATTCCTGGGTGGCATCACTAGCTGGGTCCAAATTTGCCCCCAGTTCTGCCTCACTCCAGGGTTTACTCCTTCCGCATCTCTAGTGGTTTCAACCCACATTTTCCATATCCACTTGGGCTGACCATGGGCAGTTCCTGGGGCTACAGATAGAAGCAGACACAGCACTACCCACCCTCAGGTGTTTTCTTCATGGAGGCACCAAATAGGCCAACGGCCCCAGACAAGCTGAGAGACAGCTGAGTTTTTTGTTTTGTTTGTTTTTTGGTGGGGTTTTGGTGTTTTGTTTTGATTTTTGAAAGAAAGAAGAGAGAGAGAGAAACATCGATTTGTTCTACTTATTTACGCATTTGTTGGTTGATTCTTGCATGAGCCCCGACCTGGAATTGAACCTCAACCTTGGCGCATCAGGGCGACGCTCTAACCAACTGAGCCAGGACTATTTAAGCCTCTTGGTCACAAGGAGCAGAGACTTGAGGTGGAGGTTGTAGGTGAGGACACGACTGTGCAGGCACCCTCAGGAGCAGAGTATGGATAGGTTTTGTCTCCCTGGTGGCGGTGGTGGATCCCCATGCCACTGAACACAGGAGACATGACAGCCTTGCTTGTGTCACTCAGGTTTCCTCCACCTTCTGCCTGGGGGAGCTTGTCTTCCCTCCGGCTCTGCTTCCTCGTGCCCTTTGCTCACCATCGCCCATCACTGCCTGAGTCAGCTTCCTGAGTTTCCATCCATGGCAGCTCTGCTCCTGCCCAGCTCCTGCTCGTGGCATTTTTCAGTTCACAAACCTGGTGTTTCCACTTAGACACTTCCCAGGCCGTTGGGCTCAATGCTTGCAGGAGCCAGACCCAAGTTGGCTCATTTCCCCCTCCTTCCTTACATTTTTGGGATTCAGCTTTTGTCTTGGGACCATCTCCACCATGGAGTGTGCCCCCAGAGGTCCTTGAGTCCTGCCCCAGAGTCCTATCAAGGTTAGGAGAATGGGTCCTCCCCAGTTGCCTGGGGTGTGGATTTCCATGGCCTTGTGCTCTCCTTGCATCCTAAGCCAGCCACCCCGGCTGGGGAGACTCTGGTCCCCTCTTTCCCTCATTGCTGCTCACAGTCTTGGAGCCTGAGGTCAGCATCTCCACGGTCAGCTCTAACCCTGGTGGAAGCTTCGCAGAGGCCCTGGCTTGGGGCAGTCTTGCCAGGATGTCTTGTCCCTGTACAGGTGCTGGCCTCACCCCTGGGTGAGGCCTCCCTCACTCTCTGTTTAAGGGACAGAGACTTATGTTCCCCTGCCCTATCACCACCAGCAAAAGAAAATCAAAACAGGCAGGCCATAGTTCTTTGGTGTCGAGAAAGGAAGGGACAGCCTTCAGAAATTTGTAGAATAGCCCTGAACAGTCAGAATAGGGGGCCAGAGAGGGGGACAGTGCAGGAACCGGAAGGATGGCCCCAGTCCTGCTCATGCCCTGTGGCTGTGGGACCAGGTGTTTTCCTTTCTGTACAAGGAGGCTACGAGCTCCTGTCACTCAAGGGTTTGGTTATAAGAGGAAAAATTCCTGGACCCTGCCAGTTTCCCCATCTGTAAGATATGGTCCCCTCGGTTTCAGCTCCTTTGTCTTGGGCATCTGATGTTGACCTTGGCACCTGGGCCTGAGTGGGGCTTTTGGGTTCTGGCCAGCCTAGGGGTGGCTGAAGTTCCAGGTGCTCCACTCATCAGCAGTTATTACTGGCAAGAATGTGTCAGGAGATTCTACCTCTGGGGACCAAGGACAAGGTTAGGGGAGGAAGCTAGAAGTGAAGTCTGGCTGAAGCCTTTGACCTTGAAGACCTGTCCTGGCCATGCAAGCCCCCAGGGGAGGGAACACCAGCTTGGCCAGTACTGGGCTCTTCTGGGAGGATGTCCCCCTCCTGGAGGCGGACATGGAACCTGTGGTGCCTGGCACTGCCCCTCCCCACACACCCTCCTGGGTGAGCTGAAGGCCTGGCTGGAGGCAGGAAAATGGAAAAAGTGGGCCTGCCATTCAGGTGGCAGCACCCAGCTGTGAGGCAGCCATTCAGGTGGCAGCACCTGACTGTAAGGCAGGCCTCTGTCTGCTGCCCAGGGAGGACCCTTCTCCCTGCCCAGAGTGCACACTCTCTCACGGTGATAACACTCCTTAGTAGCCCCAGAGGGGCAGGGCCCTGGGTCCTGGAAGATTGTGACCACCTGGAAGGACTAGGAGCAAGGTCAGTTGACCACTTGGTGCCAGGGGATCCTGCAGGGACCTAGCTGGTTCTGAGCAGGAGGCCCCTGCCCTTGTGGAGCATCACTGGACACTGGGATGTGAGGCCTGAGATGGGCTCTGGACACCTACAGACCCTCCTGGCTATGTGTTGTGGGCAGTCAGTTTCTCTGAGCCTTAGTTTTTCCATCTCTGAAACAGGGCAAAGTCTACCTTGAAGGATTCAGGAAAAGATGAAAGGAGGTGATGCCTTCAGGTGCCCAGCCTGGTGCCTGGCTCACAACAGGGAGTATAAAGGGAAGGCGCTCAGGCGAACACTCGGCAGGAAAGCTGGCCTGAAGAAGGGCCACCCCAGCAAGGAGCCCCGCCCAGGCAGACTTGGCCCATCACTGAGTCTGTGAGGCCCAGTCCTTTGTTCCTTTATTTACTCTCTCGTCTCCCACCTGTGCCCCTCCGCCTGGCTCTGTGTGGGAACTGAGGATACCCCAACCCCCTGGGAACTCACAGGCTGGCAGGGTGGGAGACAGGCGTGGCCACAGCCATGGGTAAGGGTTTCATGAGATCCTGGGGCTGGGCCCTGGGCCCCTGGAATGAGGACATTGGCCTGGGTCTGGGAGGCTGAGTGGGAGTTTGTAGAGAAGGTGGCAGGGGGATTCCAGGCAGAAGACAGGGCTGGCCGGTGGGACTGGCTGTGTGGCTGGAGTGTGGAGAGGAGCTGGGGCGGGTGAAGCTGAGGAGCAGAGATTCCATCACTGAGGGCCCTCAGGCTGGAGTGAGAAGCTGAGGAGGTTTCAGCTGTGGGTGATCAGCCTCTGAGCCAGGAGCAGCAAGAGGGGAGCAGGAGGCCAACAGGCGGGCCCCTCCCTCAGGCCTGGTCTCGGCTCCTCTTTGTACCCATGAGCGAGGGTTAGGTGGCCTCCTGCCAATCACACCATCCTTTGCCCTTTCTGTATTGAAGGTGGCTCCTCAGACAGAGAGGCAGGGCTGGGCTGGAGGGACAGCCCCGGGCTCTCTGGAAATCGAGGCCATTGCTTTCCTGCCTTCAGTGGAGGACAGAAGGCTCCTCCCCGGTCCCATTGCAGGCTCTCAGGAAGTCTAAAGCTGTGTGGATTTCAGGACAGAAGGCCCCCGGGTATCATGTGTTGCCTTCTTTACTGTCCTGTTCAGGAAAGACAAGGAGGGGTTGTGTCTCGCAGGTGCAGTGACCCCTGACCTCTGACCTGTGTCCATCCTGAGGACTCAGAAGATACTACTGCTCTTGGAGGCCCAGGACTGAGCTCCCAGGGCATGTGATGGGGGTGGATGGGCAGTTACAGCCTTGACAGACATCCCTGGGCTTTAGCAGTAGAGTAGGGCCAGTAAAGACTCCCCAAAATGGCCATCATTCCCTCGGCTCTCCCCCTTACACAGAGCTGCACTCCCTTCCCCTGACCTATCTCAAGGTGGAGCTGGGGGTAGCTGGGCCATTTGGGCCTCAGTGGTGGAATGAAGAACAGACTACAAAATCCCCACTGTCAGTTGGGAGACCCAGCCCTTGGCCTCTACTCTCTCAAAGATGTGCTGTGTGACTCTTGGACAATCGGAGCCCTCTCTGGGCCTCTGCTTCTCCTCTGTCCAGTGATGGGCATGGGTAGCCAGGCCCATCCCGTTCTGGGGTTCTCTATAGGGAGAAGATGTTAGTCCCGGGGCTGGGTCCACTCACTGGCTCTGTATATCCTGGATGGTGTCGGGCAGCGGAAGGCCCCGGGTCTCAGGCAGCAGCAGCACGGTCAGGCCACTCAGCACTGGCACCGCCCCATACAGCAGCAGGGGCAGTGAGGGGTTGTGGATACCCAGTAGCCGAACCAGAGGCCCCAGGATGGCTCCCCCTCGGGCCAACATCTGGCCCAGGCCCACTGCGGTTATCCTGCCAGCACAGGTACACCTGTGAGGGGCCACTCTGCCCACCCTCGGCCTTGACCTCCCACTCCGGCCCAGCCCGGCTCTGCTCAGGGAGGTACAGTGGGTCAGGCTGAGCAGAGACCCATATAGGCAGCCAGCCTGAGACCACATAGAAGAGAGACACAAGGCATGGACACCAGGCCTGGGGAAGACCACCCCATCCTGCCCTCCCATCCCAGGGCACCCCCATCCTTGGGCCCAAGCACAGTCTCACCTGAGTACGGTGGGGAAGAGCTCACCACTGTAAATGGTGATGCAGGTGAAGGTGCCCCCTATCCACCCGAGCCCCAGCAGGGCTAGGGCTGAGCGCAGGGACCTCATCTCTGTGGGTAGAGACAGGGTTAGCAGGGATGGTGGCAGGGGCCCCAGGGTCAGATGGAGGCCCTCTCCCTGACTTTCCAGTTGCCTGAGTCACCTTGGGTGTCCCCAGACCCCGTACGTGCACCATGTCCTACGTGACCTCATAAGCACATTCTCTGACCCCCCAAACCTGCTCCCCAACCAGACACCCAGAGCGAGACCCAGGGAGTCCCTCTGACACCTCCCAATTTCCCTGCCCCTCTCCCCACAATTCACCACTGAGATCTTATTTTATCTTCACAATTTTTCACAGGCCACCCACCCACTCCATCCTTGCTCCCACTGCCCAGTACAGGCCATCACCATCTCTCCCAGACACCCAGCAGTCTCCTTCCTAACTGGGCCCCAGTTCTAGTCCAGCCCCCTGAGAGGAGGGGACAAGGGGCCTGTGTTCCTGGCTCAGGCCCCCCTCCCCAGGTCGGCTCCTCTGGCCACAGTGCTGTGCACCCAGACCTGCCCGCTCACCGTAGGGCACCAGCACGTTGGCCAGGATGCAGAGCCCCGCCAGCACCAGGGATGCTGCCAGCATGGGGCGGCGGCCCAGGCAGCTCAGCAGCAGCAGTGTGCCTATCTTGGCTGCCATGTCAATGACCCCAATGAGGACCTGGAGCAGGAAGATGTTGCTGTCCAGGGCCTGCAGGTCCAGGGCCAGGCCAAAGAAGGTGAAACCAAAGGCAAACCTGGGGGTGGGACAGGTGGAGTCAGGCTGAAGAGCGGGCTGTTCAACGGCTTGTTCGTTCTCAGGCCCATTTCCGCCCTCCTCCCGTGGGCTCTGTCGGGCAGAGGGTGGTCTCTGCGGACTGCATTTCCCAGGTTCCCTTGCCAGTGCTGCTCCCGTTAGGTTTGGCCATTGGGAGGCGCTGGTGAGAGGCTGGAGACAGGACCAGGGGAGAAGCAGGGGGTTCCTCCCTCCCTCTCCCTAGTGCCCTGTCTGGCCAAGGCTGTGTCCCCTCCCTCGGAGGCCTCGCTGGTTTCTGTCTTTGCTGGTGGCACTGCTCCTGGGCTCTGAGAATACCCATCCCTCCTCCCCGGTCCCTCCGAGCTAGGGTGGCTGTGCCTTTATGGTGTTGAAGCCTCTGCCGCCTCATCCCACTAGGCCTTCAGCTCTTCCAGCGCTTTTCTTACGAATCCTCCTCATTAATGCCTTCTACCCACGCTCAGCCACCGGAGCCCACCCGGCCTGGGCTGTTGCCCCAGGACTGACTGAGGCGCCAGCGCTACAGGCTTTGTGCTGGAGGTCCCCCAGGCCAGTGGCACCAACAGGAGAGTCATCAGAGGACCCCAGGCCAGTGAGACCAACAGAGTCTTGACTCCAAGTTCCCTGGCAGCCTGTGGGTAGGGACAGGCTGCGGTGGGGCCAGGTGGGTGGGGGTTGGAGGGACATCTACCAGCACAGAGTGGAGACGAAGGTCCGGAGGCCCAGTCCAGGTGTGCAAAGCAGGTTGCCCAAGTTGGTGGGAGTCTGGCTCACGCTGAGCTCCTTCTGCATGGCTGAGAGCAAGACCTTGGGGGGAGGGACACTGTCAGCACTGGGAGCTCCAGGCAGGCCCCATCTCTAAAACCCTTATCCCAGGGGGCTGGGGCTCTTGGTTGCCTCTCCAAGGCCCTGTGCAGGGTCAGGGAAAGGGTCTGAGGGTCCAGCCCTGGGGAAGGCTCGGGCCCACCTCACCTCCGTGGTCAGTGCATCCCCCACTGCCCTCTTCCCGTTGATGGCAGCCACCCTCTGCAGTTCCCGAAGGCCCTGCTCCACCTTGCCCCTGGTGAGGAGCCATCTCGCAGACTCCGGCAGCCACCTGAGGAGGGGAGGGAGGGGAGAGAGGGAGGACGTCATTGCCTGTGACCCCCAGGGCCTGGCTCCAGTGGGTGGCCCAGGGCCTGGCCTACACAGCCTCACTGACCCTCTCTCCCCCTCTGCCCGAGGGGGTGGCCTCACTGGGGCCCACAGGCCCCAGACTCAGGGTGGTGAGGTCAGTGGGTGGGCAGCAAAGGGCGGCCACACCACCTCAGCCACCCTCCTCCTGCAGCTGGCATCCTTCCTCTCTCCTCCCTCCCCCCTCCATTGGGTTGAAGTTGGGAGTCCCTGGTCTCCCTTCCTGTCTCCTCCTGACCCCATGGCCCTTCCCCTGCCTCACCTGGGAGCCAGGCCTGGGTGCAGTAAGGTCTCCTCCCCCCAGTAGCTACAGCAGCACAGTCCTGCCCACCCACCCAGGCTCCAAGCCTGCCAGGATCTCTCCTCTACTGTCTGGCACTGCCCAGGAGCACTGTCACAGGGCCCCCTGTTTATCTCCATGGCTGCACCTCCTGTCTGAGCCTGCTCCTCCCCCTGTACCCCAACCTGCAAACAGCTTCATGCCTGCCGGGGGAGGGGGGGACTCAGGCCTGGAGAAGGGTCTTTGGTCCCCACATCACCAGCCCCCACCAGTCAGTCAACAGTTCTCATCACCTCTAGCACCCCTTGTATCCCACAGCCCTTGTCACAGCCCTTTGTCCCTATTGTTCAAGCGGAGACAACAGCAGCCACCTCCTGGGTGCCATTCGGCCCGTGCATGCGTGTCCCCTCCCCCTGGCAGGACCCAGGCCCTAACACCAACCTGGCTTCCACGGCCTCAATGTCAAGTCCAGATCTACACTGCGTGCCCGCCTGGCCGAGCTCCCTGGGGTGCCCGCCTCTCTGCCCTGCCTCCCACCCCTGCGGGCCACCAGCCAGCCACACTTTTCCTGCAGCAGCAGCAGGTGCAGCCACGTGCTTCACACCCACCGGGACCCCAAGGTCCTTTAGGGTTTGCAGAACGGGATAGAAGGGAAGATTAAGGTGCCCGTTAGAGGTGGAGTTGACTAGACCCAGTGACCTGCTGGACTCGGGGTGGGAGAGGGCGCGTCAGGGCGACTCTGACTCCAGCACTGGTGGGTGAGGGTTGCTGTCAATGCTGGGGGCTTGCAGAGGAGCAGGTGTAAGGAGATGCTACATTTTAGTGCTAGGACACCGATCATGGAGATGTCACACAGGCTGCTGGTGGCTGGGAAAGGCAGGGCTGCAGGGGGTTTTGGGGTCTGCAGCCAGTGGAGAGAGAGCCATGGGCACCGATGAGGCTGCCCAAGGAGAGGGCACTTCAGGCACCCACCACATGCTACAGAGGCCGAGCAGGGTGGCGCAGAGCAATGGTGACAGGTCATGGAGAGTGACAGGACAGAGGGGGGAAGGGAGAAAGAGGCAGCAGCGAGGAGCGGGGGAAGGAGATGCTTCCTGGACCCTTGGGTGGAGTGGGTGGGCACTGCGGGCGGTGGCCTCCAGCTAGGCTGGGCTCCTGTGATCCCCTCCTGCCCTGCACCCCTGGCCTCCTGCTTCCCCAACCCTCTGCCCCCCGGGGGAGGGCAGTCTCCCATTCCCCTGTGAGGAAGGTGGCAGGGGGATAGGGTGGCACCCACCAGGAGTACACAAAGAAGAGGAAGAAGGGGACAGAGACCACCAGCTGCAGCCACATCCAGTCGCGTATGCCGTAGGCCGCCGTGGCCATCAGGATCATGCCGAAGCTGTAGCCCAGGTTGCTGAAAGTCATCACCATGGCTCGGGCTTGTGCTGATGTCCACTCTATCACTGCAAGGAGACCACACAGCTCACCCCAGGAGCCTTGAGAGCCTTCCCCGCTCGACCCTGGGTCAGGGGGACCTACGGATGGTGGCGGTGTTCATCATGATGCCCGTGATGGCCAAGGCCGCCAGGAAGCGGAAGAGGCAGTACACGGGGAAGCTGGGCGCAAAGGCGGTCGCCGTGCCCCACACAGCAACCTGAAGGTAGCTCCAGGTCAGCACCAGCCTGCGTCCGAACCTGCGACACACACCGGGAGGGTGGCAGGTCCACAGCAGGCCACGGTAACACCACAGGGGTCTGGACCACTAGAGCCCACCCCACACTTCCAGGCTGAGCAGGGGGCGATGCTAAAATGACACCTGGGGCCAGGCCCACATTCTTTATCCACAGAGGGCCCATGAGCACAGGTGGGTGTGACGGTACTCTCGGCAGGAACTGAGTTCTCTGTCAGCGGGAGCATCCAAGCAGCAGCTGAAGGCAGGCATGCGGCTGAGCAGGTGTCGGCAGTGAGTGAGTGATAAGAGCATGACCCTCCACAACCTCGGAGGAGAGTCTGAGAAGCCAAGGCCCGAGAGGGGAGGAGCCCTGCTCACAGCGCAGCTGGAGGGCGTCAGGAAGGAGACCCCACACAGGCATCTGGGAGCAAGGGGGCAGCCAAGGCAATGGGCCTGCTTGGATGGTAAGCGGACAGGGACACGTACCTGTCAGAGGCTTGGCCAGTCACTGTGGTTCCCACCAGGACCCCAGCCAGGAAGATGGACTGGGCCATGGGCTTCAGGGCCTGAGAGTCACACACCAGGTCCCACTGGTGGGAGAGGAGTGGGGAGCTGAGCTCAGGACATCGGGGGAGCCCAGGTGGAAGGGGGAAGTAGAGGGGAAGGCACCAGGGAACTGGGTGTAGTGACCTCTAGGGTTGTAGGGCAGGGTCCTGTGGGACAGCGAAGGCTGTCACTCCTTGCTAAGACCCTTCATGGCTCCCTATTGCCCTCCAGTCAAGGGTCAGGCCCTGTCTGGCCTCATCTGCCCTTCCCTGCCTTGTGGGAGCTGGGAGCTGGCACCTCCCCCTACTTTCCTCTGCTTCTTTACAAAGAGGCCCCTTCCCGCCGGCTGCGATGGGGCACCCCTCCCACTTTCCCAGATGTGTCCAATGCCCCCTTGTGGGGTTGCCTCTGGGAATCTAATGACTTCCCTGAGTCTCCCTGTGGCAGGCAGAGCAGTTGGACTTGCATGTGGAGAAAGCTGCCTGAGTCACCCCTGATAAGAGGCAGTAAAGCCGCCCTGGGCGTCCAGGGTGCCCACTCAGTGTCACCTGCTGTCCCACCAGCCCAGGGCCTTTGTAGGCTGTTTCCTGTCACTAGTCCCTCTGTAGGTGCATGTGGCTGAGGAGGGCTGGCTGGAGAGTGAGATGGCTCCTGGGACGGCCATTCTGCATCCTGCCAACTATGAGCAGTGACTTTGACATCTGAGGCGCCAGGATTGGGGTGGGTGTCGGGGGAGGCCCTTACCTTGTCCACGATGGTGGAGGTGAAGGTGCTACGGTCATAGACCCAGCCATCCACACATGGCTCTGTGGCGGCCTCGCTCCAGTTGGTGGCCGTGCTGTTGGTGTCCAGGAGCTGCCACTGTGGTTGGCGGAAGCGGCGACATTGGTGAGGCCCATGGTTGGGGCCCGGTGGGATGGACACAGCCAGCAGGGCCTCAGGGCGCAGGGCACTGGGGGTGCCGGCCAGGGCAGTGCCGTTGTCCAGGAGCGGCACCCAGCAGCGGTGACCTGGCACAGCAGCTGAGAAGTTCTCCAGTATATTCTGAGTGGCGACCCACATGATGGGCATGACCAAGGCCATGGACTGGAGAACCTGGAAGCGGCCCAGGCTGCCCACTCGGTCCAGGAGTTCAGAAAAGGCCATGGGGCTCCCCGGGGGGCCAATGGGGGTGCCCATGTCACAGGGACGGGCTCAGGGCTAAGGGGCTGGAGCCAGTGGCCTGCTTCCCAGGCCGCAGAGAGGGCTTCTCTGCCGGGCAGCCTGGGGCATGGCAGTGCCCTCTGCTTTGCTGACTCAGGCTGGGTTCTCCAGCAGCTGTCACTCAGGGTCACTCCAGCTGGAACCTGAGGCTGCGTGGTGTGACCCTGAGTTTGCTGGCATCTCCTCAGAGATGAATTTGAGAAGTGGGGAAAGTGGATCCTGAAGTCACCCGGCCTGGAATTAAACTGTGACCAGTGACACCTATGGATATAGGGGTTAATAATCATCTCAGTCAAAGTTTAACCCAATGTGAGGGAGCGAGTGTAGAACGGCAGCTCCTCCCTGCGTGGGCTGGAGGCCCCCCAGGAAGCCTGGTCTCTGGCGGGTGGGGGTGCCTGGGCTCTGTCCTGGGACGCATGGTGCTGCAGCCTCCCCTTGGCACCCCTGCCTGCCTCGCTGGGGATCTTCCTAATCTTGGGGCTGATGTGGGCCTGAGGGACACCCCATGCACTCTGAGGAACTGTGTGTGTGTGTGTGTGTGTCCGTCCCGAGCCACCGGCCTAATAAACATCTCACACCTACTGCAGCCAAAGCTGAACTTCCCTTCAAGGTGCTTCTCCCACGGCTTCCCTGTCGCAGCGTCCATTACTCCACGTTTCCAGCTGCCAGGACAGCACCCTGGAGCCACCCCTGACCCGCCTTCATTCACACCTCCCGAGCCCTTGGCCAGGAAGCCCTGGCGGCGGTCCCTTCAGAACAACCAGGACACGCTCACCCCTGCCTCTGCCCCGCGCTCCCTCGGCCAAGCCCTTGCCTCTTTCCCCAGGGTCGCTGCAGTGACCTCTTCACTGGCCTCCCTGCCTCCACCCTTGAGCCCACCAGTTGATTCTCCACACACAGAGAGGTGGATTCTGCTTTACTTCCACTCACCACGTCACTGTTGTGCTCAGACCTGGCAGTGTCGCCTCATCTCACAGCGTGAAAGCCAAGCCCTTGTGATGCGGGGCCCCTGCCGCCGCTCTGGCTCTGGCTCTGGCTCTGGCTCTGGCTCGGCTCCTAGTCTTGCTTCCTCCACGCCAGCCCCACTGGCCTCCTTACTGCTGCCTGAATGTTCCGGGCACGTCTCTGCCTCAGGACCCTTGCACCTGCTGTTTCTTCTGCCACAACCCTCTTCTCCCAGACAGCCAATGCCTCGTCTCCTCAAACCTTTGTTGAGAAGGCACGTTGTCCGCGAGGCCCTGCCGAGCGCCCTGTTTAACCCTAACTGCCCCCGCC